TCCAACGGTTGCATATATATTAGACAACAAAACGTATCCGCCTTCTTTTTCAGGTTCCAACTTAAGCAATTCAGTTAAAGCCAACTCTGCGGTTTCAATGTCTTCACCTCCCCGACAAGCACTTAAGATTGATCCCCACATTGACTGACTTGGTCTCATTGGCATCTTCTTTTGCACTATGTCTTTCGCTTCCTCTACTCTCCCTGCCCTACACAACAGATCCACAAGGCTTCCGTAATGCTCAGTTTCAGGGTCAAAGCCGAATTTATCCTTCATGTGGTTGAAAACGTGTAGCCCTTCCTCCACGAGTCCGCTATGACTGCAAGCTGTCAGGACAGCGAGCAGAGTGACATTGTTTGGCGTCACACCTTCTTCTTGCATTCTTCCGAATAGCTGCAGAGCTTGCTGGCCATTTCCGTGGAAGGCCAACCCAGTTATCATTGATGTCCATAGCGCGACATCTTTCTCGGTAGCTGTCTTGAAAACCATAAAAGCCCGCTCAATGATACCACATTTGCAGTACATATCTATCAGAGCCGAACTCAGAAAGGCATCACCTTTCAGTTGCAGACGGATCACTAATCCGTGCACCCATCTTCCATGGCTCAGTTCTCCGTTGTTTGCTGCACCACTTATCAAACTAACCATAGTGACGCGGTCTGGCTTGACCTTCTCCACGATCGTCATTTCATAGAACAATTCTCTGACGGTTCTTTGGTCACATCCCTTCTTCGAATAACCAAAAAGAAGAGAGTTCCAAGAAACAAGATCCCTTTTGGGCATCTGATCAAAAACAGCCTGAGCAGCTTCCATGTCCCCAAGCCTAACAAACCCAACAACCATGGTGTTCCAAGAGCGCATGTCTTTCTTCTTCATCGCATCAAAAGCTCTTTTAGCAAGACCAGATTCTTTGCATTTGAAATACATGTCCAAAAGAGCATTGCTCAGAATCAAATTAGATGAATAAACAGGTCCTCTCCTCTCAATCCAACCATGAACTCCCTTCCCAAGTCTAATATCTGATAAATGACCACAACAAACAAGAAGACTCAGCACAGTGTACTCATCAGGTTCAATACCATCACTAACCATCTTAAAATACAGTTTAAGTGCCTCTAAACTAAAACCCTGCTTAGCATAACCAACAATCATAACGTTAAAAGAGCTGACATCTGGATGAGGCATTCTAGCAAACACCTTCTCTGCAACACCAAAATTTCCCAACTCCATGTAAAACTTAACCAGAGAATTCCACAGGTAATTCCCAAGAGACAAACACCCAGAAACAATGATATGGCAATGGATCTGCTTCACTTCCGACAGAAAACTCGAAGCTTTCATGAGATAGAGAAACGTTTGCCTGTCAGGAGAGACACGGTGCCTAATCATAGAACTAAACAGACCAAAGCATTCATTTTTCGAGCTCGAAACAGCAGATATCATTGTGTTGTAAACAAAAACATTCGGGTTGGGAGTGAAATTAAGAAATAGAAGCTTCGCCAAGTCGAGATTCTCTGGGTATGTGATCGCCGAGAAGAAGATAAGACGGCTCATGGGAAACGTATCGCAGATGAGATTGAAACGCATGATCTGTGCCAAAACCTGCTTGAATTGATTCCTGGAATTGCAATTCTCGAGCAAGACAAGAGATTGATGATTCAGCTGAAGTGATTGAACAGGATCCCATTTGGTTGTCTTGCTCCCACATTCTGTGCCAAACAATCGAAATCCTCGCCGCAACAACAACACAAAGCACATACTTCTATTTTTGATAACACAAAGCACATCAAGTTATGTAATTATGTTCTTAATTTAAAATTAATTTAGGCCGCATCGATATATCATCTGGCCCATTAAAAGCCCGATTAATATGGACTATTCTCTGTACTTGAAGATATTGTTTTTAGTATAAGAAGAACCCTTTTCTATGGATTTTGTATGTACATCTAATACATCTGCCAATTTGGTTCGATTTGTTCTAATTATCTTAGATAATAGGTGTTTAACTTTACACGAATCGTAGAAACACAATGAAAGAGCTGCTTGCACATTATGTTTGGTATATAAAACTAGAGGGCAAAACGTCTTCCGGGACCATGTATGAGCAGCAGGTAGCAGTTGCAGCTATGGACTGTCAATATCTTGGTGTTGCACAGGTGAGGTTTCCTTACACTTTCCATTGGTACCTTGAGAACTACGTGATCGTATTTTAAGAACACCCTTTCTTGAAAACCTGGATCAGTTATCTAGGTTCTCGACTTTCACTTAATAACCAAATGTCTGAGAAGATCTCTGTAAAACATTAAGTAAAGGGAAAGTCCTATGCAACCTCTTGAACGAGTACTCCGAAATGGCATCGATGCGAACCAAATCATTTGCTAACTCCATTGCTTCTGCTCTATATCCAGCAAACCCAATCCCTTCAATGAGCACAGTATAAGTAGTTTCATTAGGCCTACATCCATTTCCCACCATTGATTCCAAAACATTGATCGCGTCCTCGATCCTATGAGCTTTGCAGAATCCCAAAAGAACAATGTTGTATGTAACAACCGATGGATGAAACTCACAGCTCCTCATATCAACCAATAACTCAAAAGCTTCATCTACCATTCCTTCTCTGCACAGACACGATATCATCGAGTTATATGTGATCTCATCAGGATCTATCCCGTTACTCATCATCTCTAATATCATATGTAACGCTCTGATTTTATCTCCACTGCTCCATAACGCGCTAAACATCGTGTTGTAAGAACTAGAGTTCGGTGAGCAGCCAACTTCTCCTAGTTTCCCAAAAATCTCCAACGCTTGGTCTGCTTTCCCGTTCTTACACAACGTAGCTAAAACCGTGTTGTAGTTAACTATGTCCGGTAAACATCCGTCAGAGATCATAGTTTCCAAGAACTCAATAGCAACATCTAACCTACCTTCTCTACAAAACGCAGCTATCAAAGGATCATAGCTATAAGCATCAGGAGTTAACCCTTTTTCCTTCATAAGCTTAAGAAGATTCATCGCTTCTTCGATCTTTCCATCGCGACATAGAGTAGTAATCAAAATGCTATAAGTCACAACATTAGGATCACACTTCTCTGAAAACATCTTAGTCATTAGCTTCTCACCTTCTTCCCATTTCCCTTGATTCAAAAGAGCACGAAGCAAGATGTTATAAGAGATCACATCAGGCTCACAACCTTTCAATTCCAAATTCCGAACCATCTCAAACGCGCGGTCCACCATCCCTTCTTTACACATTCCTCTAATGATTGTGTTATAAGTAAACATATCAGGTTTTAACCCTCTAGACAACATCTCATCCATAAGCTTCAACGCTTCATCAACTCCGCCTTCGAGCATCGTAGCTTCGATCAAAATCGTGTAAGTAATGACAGTAGGTTGGCAATTATCACTTAACAACTGATTTAAAACCTTCAAAGCAAGATCAAGTTTACCTCTACTACACAAACTACCAATCATTATGTTGTAAGTCACGGTATCTGGTGAAAAATCTTTACTTCTCATCCTATCAAGAACTCTCGTAGCATCATCGATTCGATTCATCTTACAAAACCCATTAATCAGAGCGTTGTAAGCAAAAACATCAGGCTGTCCGAATTTCTCGAGAATCTCCATAACCCTAACAGCTTTAGGGATGTTTCTTAGAGTGAAGAACCCTTTAATGAGCTTAGTGCAGAGTATCACATCAGGATTGTAACCTTTGCGTACCATGGTCTCGAGTAAGTGTAGAGATTCGATGTAATTCCCTGAACGGCATGATCGATGGAAGATTTTGAGCATCTGTGTATCTCTAAATCCGAGAGATTGTGAATGTTGTTGTCTTCGTTCTGTGGGGAGTGTTGCGTCTGTTGTGGTAGTGGTTTGAAGGTTTCTTGCTCCTGAAGATGAAAAGGATCTACCATTGTCGTTGTTAGGGTTAGAGTTTGAGAAGGTTAAGAGGGAGCTTCGATTGTGAGATAGTAGGAGTCCGTGAGAAGAATTTGAATAGGGTTTCTGAGTTTTGGAGTAGAAAGGGATAGTGAAACCAACGAGTTCAGAGGATAACGGAGTCATTATTTGTAGACAAAGTTTCGATTTTTCATGGAAAATAGTTTTGTGGGCAGAAACAGAGTGTCGAATTGGGATTTTCAGACAAAAAATCGAAACGCAAAACCGAAGATAATGCGAAAAGTTAGGATTTTTTGGAGTAGAAGTGGGAAGAACAGAACAGAGCAACACCACTCGTTTTATTGTAATCTCAATGCAAATTTGTGAGGATAGGATAGAGTCCAATTTTGTACTTTCGTACTTCCGTGACTTTTGTCTTCCAACGTCAAAAAGGTCAAAACATTACGTTGAGATAAACGGCGACGTTTCTAGTCTCAAAATTTAGATTTTGGGCTTTAGATACTCTCTTGAAGTTTGGCCCACAAAAAAAGAAGAAGAATACTCTCTTGAATCAAAAAAAGAAAAGAAAGAAAAAGAATCTACATTTTCTAATTAATGTCTTTTAAAACATGTAAGATTAAAAACGTCTTTGGTAATAGAATATTCCTTTATAACCTATAATTCAAGCCCTCTCTGTCCAGTTGTAAGTTGTAACCAAGTAGTATGATTTTTAATATAATTTTGTTTTTGAAACTTATTGATTGGATCATCACACTGACAAATCTTATCACATTCTTAAGTTTCTTATATATTCTCCTCAATCTTAACCGAATAACTTGATGATCCTAGCTTAAATTTCTAATTTGAATTCATGATTGTCACACTAGCACAAGTTATACATCAGTTAATGAAAAGAATTTAATGTTCAAAAACAAAGTGATATGAAAGAAACAAATTTAAAAGACCAATAAGAAATCTCGGAGCGATCACATACCTGCTTAATATAATTAATCTCTGCTGTTTTCATGAGATCCTCTTTCTGAATGTAAAGGATTATAGGAGTATTTACCGTATGTCTTCTTCTTCTTCTTCTTCTTCTCCTTCATGCTACAATCATTAGCAGGTGAAACTACCAGCATGACCTAGTCTCTCTCTCTCTCTAAGCTATGATCATATAATCTTATAAGAACAAGAAATATATAAAATATTTATTAACTATATATGAAACCTAAGAGAGGAAGACAAGATCATGCTGGCAGCTTAACTGCTACTGGTACATGGTATACATACAGACATGAAGACGACTATATATCTTTACTTGCATATACACATGGATTTGTGTATATATATGTGTGCTTTGTGTTAGCTTCTTGTTTATCGTGTGAGTAGTGGGAGGGAGAGAGAAGAATGATATATATATGGTATGAAGAAGCCTAGCTAAGAGAGTGATTTGTGACTGATCAAATCATTATTTGAAAATTATTATAATACATAGTAGTACTTTTCTTTAAACTGTAGTTGTGTTTACTAGTCAGTCTTATGTGAATTTTAAGCTCTTTAATTAACACTTTCTGTGTTTGGATCCTCAGAAAATTAAGGCACAATTATTAAGATACACGTGTCTATAATCTTGGTTTTCATCTAGAATAAAATTATGAATTAAGGAAAAAGAGAAGCTTAGTAGGTCATGATTCTACATTTACATATGTTAGGTTGTTAACCAATACAAATCAATTTCATTCTACTTTTTGTATTAGATGTTTTTCCATTTCATTATGGATATCTTTTCACTTTCTCACCCATGGTAAAAAAAGTAAGTAGAAGTACTTAACACAGACCGTTAAATGTAGAATTTCTAACTTACTTTATGATCTATGAATATAGAACTTCAGTTTGAATTTTGAATTGTAAACATCAAAAGAGTATTTACATTTTGAAAAATAATTAGTATAAACCGTAGGTATTTAGTATGTTAAACAAAGAAAGCATTTTGGGAGTTGAAAAAGTGAGAACATGAACTTGTGGTCCCGTGTTATTAATTACAGATAAAAAGAAGGATACAAATTGAATATTGCCACGCCTAAAGACAACGCATGCTGACACATACAACACCATTCTCTAGTATATACGATTAGAAGGTGAAAATTAGACACAGAAACATTTATTAATTATCATCTAAGGTTATATTCATGCACCATGTTGACACGGATATCTTAAGTTACAAGTCACATGCAAACATTATCGAAAACCAAACACTGTTATTTAAATAGCTTCAAGTCACATGTAACAAGAGGATCGTCATCGTTTTGCATGGCTTATTCTGTAATATTTTGCTAATAGCTTTCTTTTTTATAAAGAATCTTATGATAATAGTTACGTCACTAAAATTGCGATTTTTTTAATACCAAACCGGCACAATTTTACTATAAGTCTATAACATAACGAAACATAACATAATTCAATTCCAAACGAAATATGTCTTCAAATGCCATACAGAAAAAACAAAATTAATCGAAGTTTCATCAATGCCTAACATAGCTCGAATTGTCAACCTTCTTGAAGTTCTACTAAAGAGAGAGAGAAAAAGAAGGTGTTGCTCTAGGGTTTCTTTGTAGCGAAAGTTTTATATCTCACACTCCAAAAGAAAATTATTAACTTTTTTTTTAATAGAAAATCACTAATCTTTAAGGAAGGTGTTAGCATGTGAACCATGAACTGTAAGACTGCAAAAGTGTGATGATGCGAAGGATATTTTATTCAAATTATTTTGGTTAACACAGTTAAATTATTTAATGGTGAGTGAGTCCATAACACGCATACTTAGATACCGTTTCACTTTCGGCTAACATAATTAAAAATTTAATTATATTCCACTTTTTGGTTATTATATAATGTTGTCGTTTGCTTAGCCAACCAATCCTCGATTACCCAATCACACATGTAGATTCGAAGTATTTTTTTATTTCTTTTTACCGCCAAAACACCATATTTTATTAAACTCTTTCGAAAAGGTTGGCCTCATGAGCCAACCACTCCGGAACTAAGTGACTTACATGGGAAATGATTAAGTATGTTAAGTAATTTGATTTCTTCGAGAAAAATGAAAATGATTAACTATCTTATTCTCACTAGTTTTAAGATCATGGGGTTAAATCGAAACTTTTAATTGCCTCATTATTTTTGCTACTAAAAGCCGATTACACCTTGATGTTACGTAATCATATTAACAAACACTAGATGAAAGTCATTTGCTTTTTTCATGAGAAGATAACTGGTAATTTAATACGAATTTAGACGGAAATTATATTTGTAAATTATCATAACGTTAATTCTTAAAACATAGTAAAAGGCAAAAACATATTAAAATTAGGATGAGATCAGATCTTAAGGCTTAGGGACTCACTACTCAGTGTGTCACGAACCTTCTTGGCCTCCTTCCATCCTTTTTTGTCAACATCTTAGTTTTTTTGCGAAGGAATTGATTCCGGTTTAAGCTTTGACCGATAAAGTAAAATGTCGTGTTCAGCTGTAATTAACGGCCGACCATTGGCAACAGTATGACAAAGAAAAGAAGACTGTTGGAAACACCACACAACGGCATCGAATGTGGGGGCTACTTTCAAGCTCAATTTTATAGGTATAAATGTATAATACTGGATACTGCGACATTAAACACTTTACATGTCGATTCAATGTTGTTCTCTTGAGAGCTTTCGTGAGAGATTTCATGTTGGAGATTCTATTATGCATAATATTCATAACATTCAGATTTTTTTTGCAATATCAATGAATAATATGACTTAAATAGAAGACCAATGTTCAATTCAATGAAAGAATCAACGATAAAATACCGTTATATGGTTGAAACTTGGAAATACCGGCAAAAATGCACCTAATCTCATGGTCGCAATTCTCAAGAGACAAGAAGTAAAGCAAGCTAATATGGTCCTAATCCTCTCCAAATCTCGAAAACAAAAAAATCAGGTCTACATCTAACCGAGTTCGAGCTAAACTAATAAGAGAGCTTTTACTCCCAACCAGCAGCTGGAACAGAAGCAGCCTCCCATCCAGCAGCAACGGTAACTGCAAAAAGGAAACAGCAAAAACATTAGAACATTTGGTGTTTAGATTCCGAGAGACTATGATGAAGAAGAAACTAACCGCCAACTGCAGGTGCAGCAGAAATTGGCTGTTCGACTTCACCAGACCATGCAGCATCAGATATTTGAGCAGTGGTCCACTGGTCACCACCAACCATTCCATAATCGGCCTGTACTTCAGCTTCTTCATCACCCTCTTGCTTTGCTTCTTCGGGCTCCCTGTAGAAAAACAGATCCACCTACACAACAGAAACAAGTCAAGATCTTTGTCTGGTGTTGGAGAAACACAAGTCCTGATAGTATTTCTAGAGTTTACCATGACATCCCATTTCTGAGCTGCGAGAATGGTTCCACGCATTTGGAGAACCATACGAGCCAAAAGCCAGAACAAGCAACCAATGCTGTGTTTTCCCTTGTTGTTAGCAGGAATACCAATGTCGACAAATCCCATTGGAGAATCCGTGTCACAGAAGGCAATAGTTGGAATGTTTCCCAAAGCACCTTCCTTGATTGGCTGGCAAACACAAACCAAAACCGCATTAGCAAAACCAAAAACCTACACAGTTAAATCACAACTGATGAGGTAAAACACATTCAATATACCTGATGGTCGGTTCTTGGGTCGGTGAGAATCAACAACCTAGGCTCACTGAAAGAAGTCTGCATTTGGTTAGTGAAAGTACCAGGAGTGTGTCTTCCAGCAATCGCATTAACACCAGTGTACTGAGCAAACTTCAAGACAGCTCTTTGTCCATAAAGCCTGGCTGATTGAACAATTATGTCTTTTGGGTTTTCGATTGCTACAATAACCCTAGCAGCCATCTGAAGCTTGTCCCATGTCTTTCCAAGATTGATTATGTAAATACCTGACCAAATAAAAAAAAATCCAAACTTCATAAACAAAAAAAAGATCCAAAAACATCACAAAACTCTATGAAACCGAGAATTACAGATGAATACCCAACACTATGGAAACTGGAGAAACTATCAATTCGTAAGCTACGTGTAGATGAATGTGGAAACGTTGCTTCTATATAGAATTACATGTACAATGAAATTTGGATGAAGATGAGATAGTTTACCGTCGTCGCGTCTTTTGAAGACATAACGCTCCATCTGATAGTTGCAGTTTTTGGTACCAAGGTGAACATCGGCTGATAACATCATCTGGATATCAGCTTCTTTCTCTGATACCTGACGTCCCGCCGTCGCTACTCCGTTCGCCGCCATTTTCGTTTTTTCGCTCTGTTTCTTTCTCTTCTTTCGAAACCCCTAAAGAGTGTTTCGCTAAAGAATTAAGATACTCCGGAAAACCCTAAATGGGCTTTCAAGCCCAAAACCAAAAAATGATATAGCCCAAAACCAAAAATTAATTAATTGTTTTCAGACAAAGAAAGAAAATAATCCCAATAAAAATGCTCAGTAAGATTTTTAATCCTAATTCCAAATTTCTAATAGTTATTATAAATCAAGATTTCATATTGGATCTATGTTTAATTAAGAGTTTAAGACTAATAACTATTTGATGCCTAGTTCTATCATTATTCATATTTTACTTGTGTAATAACTGCCTCATAAATAAACGCCCTTTTCCCCCTCAAGAATATGAACACACAAAGATAAAAGTTGAGTCCTGCCCAAACTGTTAAGAATTGCAAGATGATTTTCAAATTGACTTATCCTTCGTTTCGAATTCCTGCGAATAGGCAATCACAAGTTCTGGTCTATTTTAATTCAAAAAAAAGTAAGTAAAAAACAAACGATGAAACGCAATAGAACACTAGAAATCAAACTGATATACGATCATATGATTAAAACACTTTTGTATGCTCAGTGATCTTCAATCTTTTTCAATCCCTTCATATCAGTCGTCTCCACCCTGTTATTTGCACAGAATGGTGTAAAGATCAATAAATTTGCAAGTTAAAGATTTCAGAAATATGAAAAGCTAAGAACAAAATTCTCTTTAGGCAGAGTATCTTTGTAACAGACTTGTACAGAAAGATTTCAGAGACTTACGTTGAGCCATAGAGAGCAATCTTCTGAACCTTGGTGACCTCAGAACCTGATTGGTTGGCTTCGATGAAGATCGTCAAGCTTGAATTAAATAGATATCGTTAGAACGAGCTGTGATTGCGCTTAATATTATAATATATATATATATACAAAGACACAG